TACCGCATTTTTGGATCCATTTAGCACGTGTGACATTTTATTTTCTTTGGGTTAAATAAAAGATCACTGCTTTGTTATTTAAATACAGCTGTGCCACTGCAAAACATTCAATCTAAATAAGTTTTTTTCCCTTAAAATAAGTGTTTTTTTTTTTAATAGAGGAGGTAAGTTAGACACTTTGCCAATGGAAGAAGACATTTTACATTTAAAACAACAAGAAAAAAAGAATTTTATTGTTTTATTTAAGGTGATTATTATCTAATTATCTTATTTTAAGAGGATGAAAACACTAGATTTAAAATATTCATTTTTTGCAGTGCTCATAAGTGAGACACTTTGCCAATGGAAGAAGACAATTTACATTTAAAACAAGAAAAAAACATTTGCATTGTCTTATTTTGAGGGCATGTTATCTAATTATTTTAAGAGTAAAAAATCTCCTTCCATTGGCAGATCATCTGATTTACTCAAATTAAGATTTTATTGAATATATTCTTACTGATCTCTAGATGGTTTTTGCAGTGATGGTCTATGACTGACATCTGAAATAACTCTGGTAGATAAAACACTTCCAGGTAACATTTTAATTTACTAAACTAAGTGTATTTACCCTTAATTTGAGAAGGTAAATAAGATTAAAAGCCAATAGGGTTAGGATTTACACTCATAGAATTAGATAATTTGATAAAATGCTCTTGAAATAAGACAAATAAATAGTTTTTTTCTTATTTTAAATGTAAATTTTATTGCTCCACAGGCAAAGTGTCGCAGATTCCTCCTCAATTCAAGAAAAAAATGCTCTTGAAGCATTTTTGAATTTGAAGAAAAAAATGACTTATCTAGATTAAAATTCTTTACATTGCAACTTCCTCTTCTCTCAATCGTTTCACAGGAAAAACGACGTAAAAAAAAAAAGTTGAAATTTCTTAAATTAGGTGTATTTAGCCTTAATTTTGAGTAGATAAATGCGATAGTTTGCCAATGGAATGAGTATTTTTACTCTTAAAATAAGATATTTAGATAATATTCACTTGAAATAAAAAAATTCGACTGTGTTTTCTTATTTTAAATCTAAATCATCTTGTTCTGTTTGCAGAATTTCTCTTTTATCCTCAATCCAAGAACAAATGCACTTATTTTAAGAAAAAATGACTTTTAATGAATATTTTCTGCAGTGTAGCTTTTTCTGAGACGCTAAACGGGAAAAAGAGACAGATAAATGGCGGACTGGTTTAGGTTTGATGTGGAAGGAAGTGATTCCTGACGCTTAAAGTCGACCACTTCCTGTCGGCTGTTCTGATAGCAGTGATTTAAGGCGCCGCAGTCGCTGCTCTTCTTCTTCCCTCCGGAGGATGAGAGCGAAGCTTTTTCACCTGCCGACACACAAGCAAACGGCAGGAGAAGAAAAGCCGCGGCGGCAGCATCAAGGTCGGCGCTGACGAGGCGAGGGCAGCGAGGGGGGGGCGAGCCCAGGGGAGCAGGACGGACGCCGACCGCATCAAACACAACAGCAGACAAGAGCAGGAAGAGGAGCCGATTTATCCGATGAGAGTAATTAATTAGAAACTCAATTATCCAAACCTTCCTTCAACAGTCTCCGTTCATTAGCCAGAGAGCTGCTCCTCTTCCTCGCCTCCGTCCGCCACAAACACAAGCCCAACCCCTGCTAGCGAGCGGTGGCTGATTGACGCCTGTGTTCCTTGCTTTAATTATTCCCCCCCTGAAAAATCTCATTTCTGACTTGGTGAGCACGACAAAAATGTCATCATGGCCAAAATGGCTCGGAGCGCCGGCAACCTTTCAGAGGGAGATGATATTTTTCCAATCCGACGGAGGGCGGGTCGCGTCGGCCTCGTTAAAGCCCCCCATAGCAGGTCTTTAATATTCGCCCGTCTTAATTAGGGCTGCAGTTAATTTCATTAAATCCTTTGGCTGCTAAATGAAGCAGATTATGAGACATCTTTTATTGCCAAGCGTGAAATTACAGCCTGCCGCCGCCGATGGCGCCGCCTCGCTAACGACTTCCAGGGTAAATAACTGCCGGATCCCAACCGACCGGGCTCAGAGGTTTGGGTCAAAGCATCCGGACCAGAATAAAGGCCTGGATGGTCCAGATGGGTCCTAGAACTGCAGTCTGATCGGAACCAAATCTGCTGGGATTATCTGGAGCGATCCCTTCTGACCCACACCTGGACGATCCAGGTAAAAAGGTCAGATCGATCATAGAACCGTTTATCAGACAGTGGATTTAATTTAATCCCTTAATCCCGGCAGGCCCTGCATTCCAGCTGATGTTTATCTACTCATTCAGTCACCTGGTGTTTCATCCACACGCCTTTCAAAATGGAGGCTTTAACGTTTCTATAACATGTTTCAAAATGATTTTTTTCATAAATACTTTTAGTTTTATAGCTGCTTAAACAAATAAAATGAGATTTCAAATCCCACCTGACATGTGTGACTCTGCAGCAGCAGGTATTCATCTTTAGCCCCGCCCCCTAATGGCCGCCATCAATGGAAACTAGAGGCTCAGACCTTTCCAAGGAGGGGTCAGAGGTCATTGTGTGACCGTTTCAGGTGATGTAACTGGCATGCGTTACATTAGCTGCTCTGTTTTTCTTATTTTCTATCCAGTTTGGTGATTTTATTGGTAAATTTCAATGAAACGACGACTAAATCTGAGGATCAAATGCTTTGCCTCATGCAGAAGGTCTCCTATAATAGAAATAAGCATATTTATCTGTTCAGATTCACTTTTATGAGTGGAAAAAATGCATTTTTGCAGTATTAGCATTGTGCTAAAATCCAATTTCCTCATAACTCTGCCCACTAAAACCTCTGTGGAACAAACATGCTTCAACTTATTCAGTCCAGATTAGCTTAATTTACAGTCTAGATGTGGATCTATAAAGTCTGAGGTTCATCCAGAGTTTCAAATATAGTTTCATGGTGTTTATTTGAATTTTTTTTTATTTTCTCTTTGTTTATTCACCTATAAATCAGACATGGTGACATTTAAAATACTGGAAAATATTCCTCAATGCCTTCCTGTCACACAAATACAAACAATTATGTTTCCACTTTCTACAGGAATGAGTCTAATTTAATTTTTTAATACATATATCATTTATATGTCTGTCTAAACGAAATCATTCTATGAGGTTCTATAAATGCAGATGAGCTGCAGGTGGAAGCAGCCAGGAACGTACCACTTTCCCCAAGAACTGAGGGGGGGTTTAGTTTAAGTAGACCTCATTTATTTCGTCACCTTAATGTTTACTTATTATTTGTTAAGTTAAAGAGCTGTTTTATTTGTTTGTATGGATATTTTATATATATATATATTGTTCCTCCATCATGTGGCCGGTTTGCGGCTCTTTATGAGACGTTTGAAAAGATGTGAATAAAATAAAATCATCTAAATAAAGAAATATTTGTTAGATCTCTGGTTCTGTTCTTCCATCTCTACCCGGTTAGATCGACGCACGATGTTCTGGGATCAGGAACCTTAGAACCCGTTACTCTGACTCCTCCAGAACCTTCTGGTTCCAGTTCAGACCGGTTCCTCTGGAGGATGGCGGCGGTTCAGAGGTCTGAGACCCACTCGGTTCTGATCAGAACCAGAACTACGGTGGAGATTAAGTAGAGGTTCTGAGCAGCGGCTCAGTTTTGGAACTGGAGGTTCTGGTTTATCTCCAGGTTCATCAGAAACGGATCAGAACCAGAACCAGCTCTGACAGCCCAGCTGATGGCGTGGATCAGAACCGCGCTGCGGATAATGATCCGTTAATCAGCGCCGAGGAGCAGAAGGATGACTCCTCAGAGGATTGGCCTCACAGCTGGAGGCTCCGCCCCCTTCCTCCAGAGGAACCGATCAAACTGAAGGATGTTTGGTTCTGGTGTCGGTTCGGAATGACCCGTTTCCACAGCGGAGGGTCACTGACATGGACCCAAACGCAGCAGCAGGACCGGTTCTGGAGTGGCCTAGTCAAAGCCCAGACAGCAGGGAGGTTCTGATGGTTTCTGCTGGACAGCGGCTGACGCTCCTTAATGATCCTCCTCCTCCTCCTCCTCCTGGAAGCGGCGGCGGTTCCGCGGGCAGCAGACGGGTCCCGTCCCGACGTCTCGGGGTGTGTTTGTTCATTTCCAGGTCTAATTGAGTCCGAGTGGCTGATCAGAGAACCCACTCTCACTCTGAGGGTGTGTGAGTGGTTTTAATGAGCGCCGCTCTCCTAACGAGGGCGTTCCCACGGCAACAAAGGACTAGAGAGGCCATGTGATCCCGAGGAGCAGCGCTGAGAGGAGAGCTAATGAGAGCAAGGAGGTGGATCACACACTACGGCAGGTGGGGGGGGGAGAGGGAGAAGAGGAGAAGGAGGAGGGGGAGGGAGGGGAGGAATGAGAAGGTGGAGAAGGGGGGGGGGGGAGGAGGGAGAGAGGAGGGGGAGTAAGAGGAGAAGGAGGAGGAGGAGGAGGAGGAGGAGGAAGAGTAGGAGGCAGTCCAGCGTTTTAAACCTTTTTAACAAATTGCCTTTAATGGACCTCGGTTCTGAATGACATCAGGATCCAGTTAGAACCAGAACTCCTCCATCAGAGCTTCTGGTTCTGGTTCTGATCGCCTCCTGCTGCTCAGAACCTCCAGGATTTTCCATCAGAACCTACGGTTCTGTAGAAACCCGTCAGAACTCCTACAGAACCCAGGAGCAATGAGTCCGGTTCGTTCTGGTTTCTGTGCGGGGCTTGCAGGGAAGGCGGGAATCACCATGGCAACCAGTGATGCAGCATCATCTGCCACCAGGTCGGTTCAGACCTGACTGTTTACAGGTCTGACTCGGGTCCAAACCCCAGAACTGGACCCGTTTTATCCTGTTCTAGCTGCAGTTCTACGCATTTCAGACCCAATAGAACCTGTTTGTTTTTTGGCCCTCCTGCTGCTCCATAGAAACGCTAAAGTGATGAAGAGCGGTCCGAGTTCTGCGGTTCTGATCCAGCGGGCTCACCTGTTTGATGGGGATGGCCCGCCCGCTGCCGATGCTGTCGGCCCGATTCTCCAGACCCTTCTTCTCCTTCTCTGGATCGCTGGCCTTCCTCGACTGCAGAACCAAGAAAAACACACCGTCACATGCGGGCGGAACCAGAACCACCCAGGATCAGAACCGGGCCGACCCACAAGGTTCTAATGGTGATCTATAACTGTGCCGTCCAGCAGGGGGAGCTCAGGAGTTTAACCGTCTGCAGACGGCGACCCAGTGGGCTAACCTGGTCCAGTTCACCCAGTCTGACTGACTGATGTCTGTTACTATGGCGACCGACCCAGTGGGTTAACCTGGTCCAGTTCACCCAGTCTGACTGACTGATGTCTGTTACTATGGCGACCGACCCAGTGGGTTAACCTGGTCCAGTTCACCCAGTCTGACTGACTGATGTCTGTTACTATGGCGACCGACCCAGTGGGTTAACCTGGTCCAGTTCACCCAGTCTGACTGACTGATGTCTGTTACTATGGCGACCGACCCAGTGGGTTAACCTGGTCCAGTTCACCCAGTCTGACTGACTGATGTCTGTTACTATGGCGACCGACCCAGTGGGTTAACCTGGTCCAGTTCACCCAGTCTGACTGACTGATGTCTGTTACTATGGCGACCGACCCAGTGGGTTAACCTGGTCCAGTTCACCCAGTCTGACTGACTGATGTCTGTTACTATGGCGACCGACCCAGTGGGTTAACCTGGTCCAGTTCACCCAGTCTGACTGACTGATGTCTGTTACTATGGCGACCGACCCAGTGGGTTAACCTGGTCCAGTTCACCCAGTCTGACTGACTGATGTCTGTTACTATGGCGACCGACCCAGTGGGTTAACCTGGTCCAGTTCACCCAGTCTGACTGACTGATGTCTGTTACTATGGCGACCGACCCAGTGGGTTAACCTGGTCCAGTTCACCCAGTCTGACTGACTGATGTCTGTTACTATGGCGACCGACCCAGTGGGTTAACCTGGTCCAGTTCACCCAGTCTGACTGACTGATGTCTGTTACTATGGCGACCGACCCAGTGGGTTAACCTGGTCCAGTTCACCCAGTCTGACTGACTGATGTCTGTTACTATGGCGACCGACCCAGTGGGTTAACCTGGTCCAGTTCACCCAGTCTGACTGACTGATGTCTGTTACTATGGCGACCGACCCAGTGGGTTAACCTGGTCCAGTTCACCCAGTCTGACTGACTGATGTCTGTTACTATGGCGACCGACCCAGTGGGTTAACCTGGTCCAGTTCACCCAGTCTGACTGACTGATGTCTGTTACTATGGCGACCGACCCAGTGGGTTAACCTGGTCCAGTTCACCCAGTCTGACTGACTGATGTCTGTTACTATGGCGACCGACCCAGTGGGTTAACCTGGTCCAGTTCACCCAGTCTGACTGACTGATGTCTGTTACTATGGCGACCGACCCAGTGGGTTAACCTGGTCCAGTTCACCCAGTCTGACTGACTGATGTCTGTTACTATGGCGACCGACCCAGTGGGTTAACCTGGTCCAGTTCACCCAGTCTGACTGACTGATGACTGTTACTATGGCGACCGACCCAGTGGGCTAACCTGGTCCAGTTCACCCAGTCTGACTGACTGATGTCTGTTACTATGGCGACCGACCCAGTGGGTTAACCTGGTCCAGTTCACCCAGTCTGACTGACTGATGTCTGTTACTATGGCGACCGACCCAGTGGGTTAACCTGGTCCAGTTCACCCAGTCTGACTGACTGATGTCTGTTACTATGGCGACCGACCCAGTGGGTTAACCTGGTCCAGTTCACCCAGTCTGACTGACTGATGTCTGTTACTATGGCGACCGACCCAGTGGGTTAACCTGGTCCAGTTCACCCAGTCTGACTGACTGATGTCTGTTACTATGGCGACCGACCCAGTGGGTTAACCTGGTCCAGTTCACCCAGTCTGACTGACTGATGTCTGTTACTATGGCGACCGACCCAGTGGGTTAACCTGGTCCAGTTCACCCAGTCTGACTGACTGATGTCTGTTACTATGGCGACCGACCCAGTGGGTTAACCTGGTCCAGTTCACCCAGTCTGACTGACTGATGTCTGTTACTATGGCGACCGACCCAGTGGGTTAACCTGGTCCAGTTCACCCAGTCTGACTGACTGATGTCTGTTACTATGGCGACCGACCCAGTGGGTTAACCTGGTCCAGTTCACCCAGTCTGACTGACTGATGTCTGTTACTATGGCGACCGACCCAGTGGGTTAACCTGGTCCAGTTCACCCAGTCTGACTGACTGATGTCTGTTACTATGGCGACCGACCCAGTGGGTTAACCTGGTCCAGTTCACCCAGTCTGACTGACTGATGTCTGTTACTATGGCGACCGACCCAGTGGGTTAACCTGGTCCAGTTCACCCAGTCTGACTGACTGATGTCTGTTACTATGGCGACCGACCCAGTGGGTTAACCTGGTCCAGTTCACCCAGTCTGACTGACTGATGTCTGTTACTATGGCGACCGACCCAGTGGGTTAACCTGGTCCAGTTCACCCAGTCTGACTGACTGATGTCTGTTACTATGGCGACCGACCCAGTGGGTTAACCTGGTCCAGTTCACCCAGTCTGACTGACTGATGTCTGTTACTATGGCGACCGACCCAGTGGGTTAACCTGGTCCAGTTCACCCAGTCTGACTGACTGATGTCTGTTACTATGGCGACCGACCCAGTGGGTTAACCTGGTCCAGTTCACCCAGTCTGACTGACTGATGTCTGTTACTATGGCGACCGACCCAGTGGGCTAACCTGGTCCAGTTCACCCAGTCTGACTGACTGATGTCTGTTACTATGGCGACCGACCCAGTGGGTTAACCTGGTCCAGTTCACCCAGTCTGACTGACTGATGTCTGTTACTATGGCGACCGACCCAGTGGGTTAACCTGGTCCAGTTCACCCAGTCTGACTGACTGATGTCTGTTACTATGGCGACCGACCCAGTGGGTTAACCTGGTCCAGTTCACCCAGTCTGACTGACTGATGTCTGTTACTATGGCGACCGACCCAGTGGGTTAACCTGGTCCAGTTCACCCAGTCTGACTGACTGATGTCTGTTACTATGGCGACCGACCCAGTGGGTTAACCTGGTCCAGTTCACCCAGTCTGACTGACTGATGACTGTTACTATGGCGACCGACCCAGTGGGCTAACCTGGTCCAGTTCACCCAGTCTGACTGACTGATGTCTGTTACTATGGCGACCGACCCAGTGGGTTAACCTGGTCCAGTTCACCCAGTCTGACTGACTGATGTCTGTTACTATGGCGACCGACCCAGTGGGTTAACCTGGTCCAGTTCACCCAGTCTGACTGACTGATGTCTGTTACTATGGCGACCGACCCAGTGGGTTAACCTGGTCCAGTTCACCCAGTCTGACTGACTGATGAGGGAGATCTAGAGGGAGCAGAACCAGGAGGAGGTCCAGTTACTCACGGTGAAGAGGTTGGAGCGGCGTTTGGACTGCTTCCTGACCGGGGTGGGCGTGTTGGTGGTCTGCGGGGCGTCGATGCGTAGCTCCTTCTGGCTGGTGGACGGCGTGGACGGCACTGAGGACGAGTAGTCACTCAGGCTGCCACCTCCACCACCGCCATTACTGGTCTGATGGAGAAAGAAACAAACCGTGACTCCTGACCCAAAACTGAGGAGGAGAACAGAGGAAGGCGGAGTCGGACCTGGCTGACGTGGACGGCTGAGGCAGGCGCCGCACAGACAGACGTATGGCTCGGGGAGTTGGGGAGGGACTTGCAGGGTCCGATGGAGAGCTGCTGCTTCTTCCTGATGGCCACGATCTTCTGGGCCACTGCAGCACAAACAGAACACAGACAGGGACTCAGAACCCGTCCAGAACCAGCAGAACCTCCACTTCCCACCATGATGAATCAGCAGGCCGCCTGACTGACTGGGAAGTTCTCCGAAGTCCGCTGTGGCAGAGACCCCATTATCTCTGCCCCAATAAACAGCGGCCCGCGGATGAAGCCATTGTTTTAATTGGGCTCGTTAAAGCCCTGGGCCTCGTTAACGAGGAGCCGCTCGTAAACGCTTCCCTCCAGGTGACGCCGGGCCGGGCCAAGGGCGGCGGAAGAGAAACGCACCTCTGAGTGAGGTGGTTGAGAACGAAAACAGGCGATGAAAAGAAGAAAGAAAACATGGCTGTGAGCGGGGATCAGAGGGGGTCCCGGTTTTTTCCCGGTTCTGGGGGGTTGGCCCCCCGCCTGGCAGGCTGTATTTCACCCCGACTGTGAAGAACGGTTATGATAAGGTTGCTCTAAGTGTTTAAACTACATGTTTAACTTTGACCATCAATCTCCACTCTGATGTAGAAGCTGCCAGTCCCCCTAATGGGAGCGGCTCCGATTTATGAGCGGGCTGCACTGCAGCACCTGTCGCCATGGCGCTGGAAAAGCCAATCAGATCCGTCTAGAGGGAGAAGTGTTGGTCCGGTTTAAAAGGTGGACGCCATGTAGAAGGAACAACATGGAAAACCTGAGAAAATGAGTATTTGCCATTTCTTCATGTGGTCATAAATGATGCTCCACAGGCCTCCGTACTTTAACCATTCAGAACAATAATTGCTCACACTAGCTACGTTTACATGCGCAAAATTTCCCCGATCCGATCCAAACCTTGGTTGATCGGAAATTCAAAATCTCCGTTTACATGGACACTAAATGAAATGATCCGATCATGACGTGTGTATACATGTACCAAGCGTTGGATCAGATTAAATCTTTTAAGCATGCGCACAACTTCCTGCCAAACTTGGCAGTTCTGTCTGCGTCTGGTTTTTGGGAGGCCTGACAAACGATGCGCTCGGAGCGAGCGGAAAGAAAAACGGAGAGAGGAGGAAAAAAGCGCTTGGCAGCGAAATGTCCGAGAGAAAATGTAGAGAATGAGCGATTGAACCGGCGTGGGAGAGCGAGTGGGCTGTGGAGAGAGAAAAGAGGAAGAGGAGGAGGATAAATTCCTGCTTCCTGCAGCTTTAAATGAACTTGAGTGTATAAGTCGGCGTTCCTAGACTCCCCCCGCCATGTTGTTCACAACAAGAGCGAGAGCGACCGGTGGTTTCCTGTTGTTGACAAGGCAGAAAACGTCACGCTGACGTCGCACACATGCGCAGTGAAGATTATTTTACTCTTCAGATCCGAATGGGTGTTTACATGGACGCCAATCGGAATGGCGATCGGCAAAAACCACCTCTCTCATTCGGAATTAAATTTAGATCCGATCGGACCGAATCGGATTAGAATCTTCAGTCTGACATGTTTACATGAAACATTTTTGATCTGATCAGGCCTTCAATCCGATTAGTTGTGTCCATGTAAACGTAGCCACTGAGCCTGGTTCTGCTGGAGGTTTCTTCCTGTTCAAAGGGAGTTTTTCCTCTCCACTGTCGCTACAAGCATGCTTAGTGTGAGGGATTGCTGAAGAGTCAATGCAATCAGCTGGTTTTCCTTAGATAGAAAACTTTGAATCAACCTGACTGGATGATCTGTTTTTTTTTTCTAGATTTAAAACAAGATTTATAACAAAGGTAGAAATCTAGCTAATTTTAGCTAAAAAGTTCCTCATTAATTGAAGTAAATGACATTAAAACCTGAGGAATCCAACAATAACATGAGATCAGTTAGAAGCCGTTAGCTCAGACATCCCTGAGTGAGACGCCGTCATCAGCTGTAAATAATCTCCTCCTGCATCTGAGCCCGGCTTCAGACTGATTAGAAATTCTAGCTGACACCCCCTGCTGCATTATCAGAGTGAATATTACCCCTGGATGTGGTTTGTTGGTGATTTCTGGCTGTATTTATGCATCTGTGGTCATTATGGCTGGTTAATGAGCGCTAACGAAGCATCCAGAGTCTGCACTCTGACACGGATTATAAAGAAGAGGAGCTGCGAGTGAGGGAGTAAAGGAGTTCACGTCGCTGTAATTAAGCTAATTAAATTAGCGCGCTGATGGACGAGAGAGCGAGGAGCTGTCACCCCCGCGGAGGTCACTCTCCCCCCTCCCCCCCTCCTCAGACTTCACCTCACATTATGACAAATCACACAGAGAGACGTATCAGAGACTAAGGGTGAACGATGGCGGGACGGGCAGCGAGGATCCGCCTGATGGAGGCGCTACGGTCACAGAATCCTGGAGGCATCAGGATGAAATATTGTAGAATACAATCCTGATGGAAGCTCCGCCCCCTCACATTGACGATCAAATGTTCGATCACCAAAGCTACCCACCGACTGGCCTGTCTGGTCATTAAATGTGATTTTATTCCACAGTTACTAAATAAATCAGCCATAGAGATCGTCTGCTTCTGCCTGACAGTCAGAGACCGATCGACTGCTTCTGCCTGACAGTCAGAGACCGATCGACTGCTTCTGCCTGACAGTCAGAGACCGATCGACTGCTTCTGCCTGACAGTCAGAGACCGATCGACTGCTTCTGCCTGACAGTCAGAGACCGATCGACTGCTTCTGCCTGACAGTCAGAGACCGATCGTCTGCTTCTGCCTGACAGTCAGAGACCGATCGTCTGCTTCTGCCTGACAGTCAGAGACCGATCGTCTGCTTCTGCCTGACAGTCAGAGACCGATCGACTGCTTCTGCCTGACAGTCAGAGACCGATCGTCTGCTTCTGCCTGACAGTCAGAGACCGATCGTCTGCTTCTGCCTGACAGTCAGAGACCGATCGTCTGCTTCTGCCTGACAGTCAGAGACCGATCGACTGCTTCTGCCTGACAGTCAGAGACCGATCGTCTGCTTCTGCCTGACAGTCAGAGACCGATCGACTGCTTCTGCCTGACAGTCAGAGACCGATCGTCTGCTTCTGCCTGACAGTCAGAGACCGATCGTCTGCTTCTGCCTGACAGTCAGAGACCGATCGTCTGCTTCTGCCTGACAGTCAGAGACCGATCGTCTGCTTCTGCCTGACAGTCAGAGACCTGAGAGCAACAGTTCCATCTCTAGATGGTAAATTTCCTGTGTTTCTATGATGCTTTTTCATTATCAAGTGGGAATGCTTATGCATTCCCACTTATTGTTGTTCACTTTAAAATTTTCTGACTCTAACTAGTCCCACAGTTTTCAACAATTTTGGTATCAAAACGTTCAGCTTGTTCAGGGGAATTCTGCTATGTCTTTTGGTAAAGATATTTTTTGTAGTTTTCGTGATATTCAGCTTTTTCTGCGTTTTTTTTTTGTCCCATTGAAATGCATGTAGAATTCTTAGATTTCAGCAAAATTCAGCTATAACTTTATCGTCTTCGACCTTTAACTACTTCAGCATACTTTCAGCTAGAAACACCATTCAACTTTTAAAATGTTTTCGTATCTTTCTGCTATTACTGTTTAACTCAGCTTTTTGCTAACTTTTACAGTTTTGCTTCAGTGAAGCTTCAAACTTTAAAAGAAAATTTTCAGATTTTCAGATTTATAATGGAAGTCTATGGATGGAATTCTTCAACTGCTAGAGTGCGTGCTCTAGCTTTTGAGCTGTTCTGGTTTTTCCGAACAAATTCTTCTCACTCCCTCATTTTTCACTCAATTGAAATAAATTATACATCAAAATGTAGGGATTTTTATCAGGATTTAGAAAATGTAACCCTCATTTGTGTGGCATTTATAGTTTTCCGACAGTTTGGCCCAGACCACGAAGAAGTCCACACTTCCCCAATCCAATGAGAGACTTTCCAAAGATCACAGACAAAATCCAAAACGATACATATTTTCGTATCGCTCCCATTTCTTAACTATTTGATGTACTAACATGAAACTTGGTATAGAACATCTTCAGACCCTTCTAGCACTCACTTTGAAGGAATTTCTTCGATATCATTTATGGTTTAGCTGTTTAGCTAACTTGTTCGTGCATAGGAAAACGGGGATTTGAGAAAAATCCTCAAAACCCGAAAAAATTTCACATTTTTACTTGTCAAACCCTTTGGCCCTTTTGTTTTTTGAAAAAACATTTAAAGTTGGGCACCCGTCAAGCGAAGGATGGCCTTTATGTCCACGGTGAAAAAATTTTTTGAATACCTTTTACGTTTTGGCTCACCACTCGTTTGTTCGGGGGGAAGTTTTGGGTTTTGACAGCTCACCTCTACCCTGGAACTCCTTGTTTTTTTAATGGAGACCAGCAGGATTTCCCAAAACCCTTTTATTTCTCCTTCCCTTTTAAAGGGTGTGAAAAGAGCTTCAGCCATGGGAAAGTTACCCCAATTGGAGCAAAGGATAGCCCCTTTTTTTTTTGACTTTAAAGAATTTTTTGGATAACCCTTTTTGGGTTTTTCTTCAGAAAAACCGGGCCGGGTTTGGAGATGAAATTCCCCCTTCAAAAAACGCCTTGGGGAGGAAATTTTAACGGAAAAGTGAAGGGGCATGTCTCTCGGGCAATTTGGAAAAGGTCGTTAACGTTGTTTTAAAGGGAACCCGTGCTTCAAAGGATTTTACTCCAAAAACTTTTTAAAAAGGGAATTTTAATCTAAAGGAGGGGACAACACCCGATTTAAAAAATTAGGAAGTGGAACAAATATGGTTTCTGGCCCGACCTTCCCCTTTAACGCAAAACCCCGATAGGCTTTCAAAATAAGACTCCCCCGGGGGCCCTTTTAAAATAAAAGCCCTAATTAAAAACTCCAATTTTTTTTCCCCCAAAATATGGCTTCAAACCCTTATGAAACCCAAACCAACGAATTTTTTTTAAAAATTTTTACTCTAGGGGGGGTTTTTAAAACAAACCCCCCAGCAAATTTCAAAATAAAAAACCTTCCCCTTGCATTTATCTTTCTGCCCCAATAAAGGGGGGAAAAAAGTGATTTAAGGATTTGGAAAAATATTTTAAATATCAATTTCTGGGGTTTTTACCACTTTTAACCCCAAACACACAACCTGCTAGACTTTTAAAAAAGGGCTCCATGAAACCCACAAAATAAAAGCCTTATATTTTTACTTATGTATTAATTGATGAAATGGTCAGCCTTTTGAACCCCCAAACTTTACCCGGTTGTTTCTATTAGACTCTTGGGACCTTTTTAAAAAACACCCCAGAGCGAATTTCCCAAAGAAAGTCTCCCTTTTTCGCTCTAATACAGCAAACTTTCACCCAAAAAAACATGGGAAAACAAGTGATTTCATATTTAGAAAAAGGATTCTATATCACTGCTGGGCATGACCCCTTCCCCTTTACACACAAACCCATGATAGCCTTTTCAAAATAAGGGCTAAAAAGGGGAAACCCACAAAAATAAAAGCCTCTTCCTTAAAACACTATTCATTGGGGCCGTATGGTGTTTGCTATGACCCAAACTCAACCCAAATTTTTTTAAAAATTACACTTTCCAAAAGGGCCCCGTTGACCCCAAACAAACCCCAGTGGATTTTTCTTAACCAGGCTCTTAAAATTTACAATGTAATAAAGGGATTGCTAAAAACGTAAAATGCGGCTAAGCCTGCCAAAGGTGTGTATTTAAAACAGCGGCTCCCTAAACATGAAAAGGTTTGTTTTTTTGATAAATTCAGCTCCTTAAATGGGAAATTTGTTTTTTTTCCATAAGCTTCACCCCTCTTTTCCTTTCCTCTGTTTTTCATGGGGCCCGTTTTTTACATAGTTTTTTTAAATTTTCAATCCCCTTTAAAGGGTGACAATGTTTTCTTTTTTGCTGATCAAAACCCACAAAATTTTTAAAAACATTTCAAATTGTTTTTCCAAGTCTTGACATTTCCCCATATGATTTCAAAATTTTGGATACTTTTTTTTAATAACCCTTTTAAACATTTTTTTCTTCCCATCCCTTTAAACTAAAAAATTTTTTCTTCAAAACCCGATAAGATTTTAAGTTTTTCTTTGCAATTTCTTTTTGATTTTGGGTAATTTTAAAACTTTTCAGCCCTATGCTGTGAACTTTGGCTTTTATTCTGCTCATTTTCTGGACGGAAATTAAAACTTTTCTGTTTGCTTTCTAATTCATAAACGGGTTTACAAAGTTTTTTGGGAGTAGGTGGCCCCCCCTTTAAAAATTCTTTTATAATTTTTTCTGAAACTTGGGAGACATTTTTAAATTTAAGGGCCCTTCTAGGCCCCCCACATTCAAGCAATTTTTTTGATTTTTGTATGGTTTGGGGTTTTGGGGGGGTTTTGATAGTTTGTTTTCTGCCATTTTATGCCCCAAAAAGGGTTCTACCCTACAAAACTTTAATTTCCCCCCCCCTGAAATTTAATTTTTTTTCTGCAAATTTGAAGTTTTTTTTGGGAAACTTCCCATCACATTTTTCATTTGTTCTGCCCGTTTAATTTTAGCCTTTTTTTCATTCATGCAAAAGGGAATTTCCCAATTTCTGTTCTTCCCAAAAACTTTTTCTAGTAAACATTGTTTAACCCTGATTTGGTTTTTTGGTTTGGGGACATCATAGCCAAACCCCTGCCCGGGGCTCCCCTGACAGAAGGGAACCCCATTTTTAAAAGATCAAAAATTTCCCGTAGACTCTTCTTTTTAAATGGTTTCTTTTTAAAAAAAACAGCCTTTACAAAAAAGAAAATTTGAAGCATAGATGTCACTTTTTCCCCGAACGCCCTACACAGATAGAGCCAGCTGCAGATGATCAGCCCGCGGTTAAAAAACCCCCACCCAAACCACAGAGAGCGAGAAAAATTTCCCCTTTGGGTTCTGCTGGGATGATTAGAAAATGAAAAAAAAGAGATTAAAACTCAAAGCAGGGCAAAGGGGCCCAAAACAGGGGGGGCCCCCCCCCCCATTTCCCCCCCCCCCGGGGAAAGATTAAGGGGCCCTTCTCCTTGGGCCTGGCTTTTGAGGCCTTGCCTGCCCCCCTGCAGGACCGAAAAGGGGAAGGGAGCTTGGTCCTCTGGAAACCCCTTCCAAACTGCCCCAAAAGGGAAAACCCAAAACCGAGCAGAAATGTAGTTCCTGATCTGCTTCCGGGGTTTTTTCAAATTAAAACCCCCTTTTAAAAATTTTTTTTCATTTAAAAAAAAGAAATTCCAACAAAAAAATTTTTTTAATGTCATTTACAAGCTTAAAAGGGTCGTTTGGGTTTTTCCCCAGCTGCCCTCCCCACCGTGCAGCAGTCCCCTTAAACCCCTGCGTTGCCAAACCCTTGCTCTCAATTAAAAGTGTTAAATAAAAACCTCGGGGCGCCGCTGGGATGTGATTTAGCTATTAATGAGTTGGGGACGTTTTAAAAAAAGGGGCCCGGGGCCTTCCGGTTTTTGGGAACCCACTGGGCTTTATTGCATGGGTTTGGTTTGGACGGAACCTACGGTGGATGTTGGATGAAACATGGGGCAAGGCATCATGTGTGGTTAGAAATGCTAAAAATGCTATCACCAAACGGGGAAAAAGTAACCCAAAATTTTAGCGGAGTTTTTTGATGAATGAAGTTTCGGAACTTTAACCGGACCGCATGTCCCGGGGAGAGGGCCCCCTTAAATGGAAACCCTGGCCCCCCCCCACCCCTCTAATGTCCGGTTTCCCTTTTTTGAACCCCCCCCTCCAACTTGCTATGATAAAAAAATTTAATTTGGGGTTTGGTCGGGGCTAAAAGAGCATACCTTTAATTTTAAGGGGTTTCTTAAATTGGGGGGGTGTGATTAAGAGCGGCCGGATGGCTGCGGCCGGCCCAGGATCGCTGATGACGGCCAATGTCACCTTCCCGCAGGACCGGGGGGGTGAAGGGGTGGGGGGTTCTTACCGTCCTGGAAGACCCGCTCCACGTTCAGGCCGTAGGTGGCGCAGGTTTCATAGTAGGTGCAGCGTTTGAGGTCGTTGGAGAGCTTCCTGGCCCGGCTGTCGTCGATCACCCGGGGGTTAGTGGAGCTGATGGCGTCTGGAGGGGAACAAGGGAAGAAAACCGGGGGGGTCCAAGCGGGGGGGGTACCGCCTTTCCTTTTTGGTTGGCCTGATGGTCTTTGGTATGGTCAAAGGGGTTTTGGCTGCCGGAAAAAGGGGAGGGGGAAACTTCCCGGGGGAGCGTTGGGGGCCCCTTGTGGGGGAGTTTTTGTCCTGACAGTTTGGACTAGATGGGGTTTCAGTGCCATTTTTGGCCCCCAGAGGGCGGCCCGAGGGCCTTTAGTTTTTGGTTCGCTTTTGGGGTGTGTGTGTGTGTGTGTGTGTGAGTGTTTCTGCAGAACCTTGGGTCCCGACCAGAACCAGCGGCAGCTCGGCGGTGTTCCTGTAGGACGCCAGGCGGCTGTAGTAGTGGTAGATCGTCTGGAACTGATTCTGTCCCCCAGGTGAAGACGAGAAGGGCCACGGGGTTCCAACCCCCCAGAGCAAACTGCAAAGGTCCAAACCAAAAAAAACAGACCCGGGCCTGGAAAAAAAAGGGGGCTTTGGGAGGGGAGGGGAAAGGGAAAAAGGGGGCCCCCCCCAGAAAACCCTGTGGGGCTGACCCACTTTTCCCCCCCCTGCTGAAAACAAGAGGAGGGTCCCCTTTTTCCTTATCCGGGGGAACATCAGGAAAACCCCGGGTTTCCCTCCTGAAACCCCCAATCGCCGCAGACGGGAAACCGCGGTCCCGGGTTCTGGAGGTGGTTTTGGTCCGGTCCCTTTTCTCACCTGGCCTTGGGGGTCCTCCCCTTTATCTTCTTCAGCAGCAGGTGGCTCTGGCCGTCCACAACGATCTCCTTCTTGAAGCGTCCTCCTGAAAGAGGGAAAAGTACCAAACAGAACCCGGGCTTGGGTCCCAAAACCCGGGTTTTGGGGTTTTAAAAAAGGGCTAAAGGGTCCCGGGGCCAGTTTTGGTTCTAACAGGGGTAACGGGTCGGATCGGGGAAAAGGGGTTTTGGTTCAACAGCTAACGGGTTTGGGACCCGGGGTTTTTGGTTTTTAAAGCTAAGGGTGGATTTGGGATCCGGTTTTTGGGTTTAAACAAAAAATCGGGTTCGGGGGCCGGTTATGGTTCAACGACTAACGGGGTTTGGGCCGGTTATGGTTTAAAGAAGGGTCGGGCCGGTTTTTTCTAACGGTGGGGGCCGTTTGGTTCAACAACGGGTCGGGACCGGTTTGGTTCAAAAAAGGGGAATTGTTAAGGTACGGTCGGTCGGCCGGTTAGGTTCCCAAAGGGGGAAGTTTTTAAAGTGGGCCGGGGTTTAAAAAGGGTCGGGACGGTTATGTTCAAATAGGGCGGGCGTTTGGTTCAAAGCTAAGGGTCGGGACCGTTATGGTTAAGACTAAGGGTGGACCGTTATGGTTTAAAGCTAACGGGTGGCGGTTTTAAATAACGGGGGTTTTTAAAACGGGGGTTGGGGCGGTTAGTTTAAAATAACGGGGTCGGCCCGGGTTTGTTCTAACAGACTACGGGCGGCGGTTAGGTTCTAACAGAAACGGGTCGGACGTTTGTTCTAAAGCTACGGGGGGAGTTTGGTTCTAAAGACTAAGGGGGACGGTTTGGTTTAAAGACTAGGTCGGTCGGAGTTTGGTTTAACACTAAGGGTCGGACCGTTTGTTTAAAGACTAAGGGGCGGTGGGACCGGTTTGGTTCACAGAAAGGGGGCCCGGAGGTTTTTCCGGAAGGGTTGGAATTTTAATAGGTCAAAAGGTTGGTTAAAGTTAGGTCGTCGGGACCGGTTTGTTTTAAAGTCGGGCGGAGGTTTAAAAACAAAGGGGGGGCGGTTGTTCTAACAGATAACGGTGGGGTTTGCTAAGGTCGGGGGAGGTTAGGCTAACAGTCGGGTGGAAGTTTGGTTTTTAAGGTCGGGCGGTAGGTTTTTAAAAGGTGGCGGTTGGTTTTAACAAGGGGGACGGTTGGTTCTAACAGACTAACGGGCGGGCGGTTTGGTTTACAGACTACGGTCGGGGGCCTTTTTGGTTCTAAAGACAAGGGGGGGGGGTCTTGACCGGGGTGGGGGGTTTGTCTGCACGGGGGGCAGGTTACAGGTGGGGACGTTTGGTTCTAAACTAACGGTCGGATCGGGAGGTTTTTAAACGGGGGGTCGGACCGTATGGTTTACGCTACGGGGGGTTGGACGTAGGTCAGTTTTCAATGGGACGGGTTAAGTCCCCCCCCCCCCCCCCCCCCCCCCCCCCCCCCCCCCCCCCCCCCCCCCCCCCCCTTATGGTTCTAAAGCTAAGGGTCGGTCGGGACCGGTTATGGTTTAACAGACTAACGGTCGGAGCCGGTTATGGTTCTAACAGACTAACGGGTCGGATCGGGACGGTTATGGTTCTAACGACTAAGGGTCGGGACCGGTTATGGTTTAACAGACTAACGGGTCGGATCGGGACCGGTTATGTTCTAACAGACTAACGGGTCGGGACCGTTATGGTTCTAACAGACTAACGGGTCGGATCGGGACGGTTATGGTTCTAACAGCTAACGGGTCGGAGGGACCGGTTATGGTTCTAACAGACTAACGGGTCGGGACCGGTTATGGTTCTAACAGACTAACGGGTCGGATCGGGACCGGTTATGGTTCTAACAGACTAACGGGTCGGATCGGGACCAGTTATGGTTCTAACAGACTAACGGGTCGGGACCGGTTATGGTTCTAACAGACTAACGGGTCGGATCGGGACCGGTTATGGTTCTAACAGGCTAACGGGTCGGATCGGGACCGGTTATGGTTCTAACAGACTAACGGGTCGGGACCGGTTATGGTTCTAACAGACTAACGGGTCGGATCGGGACCGGTTATGGTTCTAACAGACTAACGGGTCGGGACCGGTTATGGTTCTAATAGACTAACGGGTCGGATCGGGACCGGTTATGGTTCTAACAGACTAACGGGTCGGGACCGGTTATGGTTCTAATAGACTAACGGGTCGGGGACCGGTTATGGTTCTAACAGACTAACGGGTCGGGACCGGTTATGGTTCTAATAGACTAACGGGTCGGGGTCGGGACCGGTTATGGTTCTAACAGACTAACGGGTCGGGACCGGTTATGGTTCTAATAGACTAACGGGTCGGGTCGGGACCGGTTTTGGTTCTAATAGACTAACGGGTCGGGTCGGGACCGGTTATGGTTCTAACAGACTAACGGGTCGGGACCGGTTATGGTTCTAACAGACTAACGGGTCGGGACCGGTTATGGTTCTAATAGACTAACGGGTCGGGTCGGGACCGGTTATGGTTCTAACAGACTAACGGGTCGGGACCGGTTATGGTTCTAATAGACTAACGGGTCGGGTCGGGACCGGTTTTGGTTCTAATAGACTAACGGGTCGGGTCGGGACCGGTTATGGTTCTAACAGACTAACGGGTCGGGACCGTTATGGTTCTAATAGACTAACGGGTCGGGTCGGGACCGGTTATGGTTCTAACAGACTAACGGGTCGGGACCGGTTATGGTTCTAATAGACTAACGGGTCGGGTCGGGACCGGTTATGGTTCTAATAGACTAACGGGTCGGGACCGGTTATGGTTCTAACAGACTAACGGGTCGGGTCGGGACCGGTTATGGTTCTAACAGACTAACGGGTCGGGACCGGTTATGGTTCTAATAGACTAACGGGTCGGGTCGGGACCGGTTATGGTTCTAACAGACTAACGGGTCGGGACCGGTTATGGTTCTAATAGACTAACGGGTCGGGACCGGTTATGGTTCTAACAGGCTAACGGGTCGGATCGGGACCGGTTATGGTTCTAACAGACTAACGGGTCGGGACCGGTTATGGTTCTAACAGACTAACGGGTCGGGACCGGTTATGGTTCTAACAGACTAACGGGTCGGGACCGGTTATGGTTCTAATAGACTAACGGGTCGGGACCGGTTTTGGTTCTAACAGACTAACGGGTCGGGACCGGTTATGGTTCTAATAGACTAACGGGTCGGGACCGGTTATGGTTCTAACAGGCTAACGGGTCGGATCGGGACCGGTTATGGTTCTAACAGACTAACGGGTCGGGTCGGGACCGGTTATGGTTCTAACAGACTAACGGGTCGGATCGGGACCGGTTATGGTTCTAACAGACTAACGGGTCGGGTCGGGACCGGTTATGGTTCTAACAGACTAACGGGTCGGGACCGGTTATGGTTCTAACAGGCTAACGGGTCGGATCGGGACCGGTTATGGTTCTAACAGACTAACGGGTCGGGACCGGTTATGGTTCTAACAGACTAACGGGTCGGATCGGGACCGGTTATGGTTCTAACAGACTAACGGGTCGGGACCAGTTATGGTTCTAACAGACTAACGGGTCGGATCGGGACCGGTTATGGTTCTAACAGACTAACGGGTCGGGACCGGTTATGGTTCTAACAGACTAACGGGTCGGATCGGGACCGGTTATGGTTCTAACAGACTAACGGGTCGGGACCGGTTATGGTTCTAACAGACTAACGGGTCGGATCGGGACCGGTTATGGTTCTAACAGACTAACGGGTCGGGACCGGTTATGGTTCTAATAGACTAACGGGTCGGATCGGGACCGGTTATGGTTCTAACAGACTAACGGGTCGGGACCGGTTATGGTTCTAATAGACTAACGGGTCGGGACCGGTTATGGTTCTAACAGACTAACGGGTCGGGACCGGTTATGGTTCTAATAGACTAACGGGTCGGGACCGGTTATGGTTCTAACAGACTAACGGGTCGGGACCGGTTATGGTTCTAATAGACTAACGGGTCGGGACCGGTTATGGTTCTAACAGACTAACGGGTCGGGACCGGTTATGGTTCTAACAGACTAACGGGTCGGGTCGGGACCGGTTATGGTTCTAACAGACTAACGGGTCGGGACCGGTTATGGTTCTAATAGACTAACGGGTCGGGTCGGGACCGGTTATGGTTCTAACAGACTAACGGGTCGGGTCGGGACCGGTTATGGTTCTAACAGACTAACGGGTCGGGTCGGGACCGGTTTTGGTTCTAATAGACTAACGGGTCGGATCGGGACCGGTTATGGTTCTAACAGACTAACGGGTCGGGTCGGGACCGGTTATGGTTCTAACAGACTAACGGGTCGGGTCGGGACCGGTTATGGTTCTAACAGACTAACGGGTCGGATCGGGACCGGTTATGGTTCTAACAGACTAACGGGTCGGGTCGGGACCGGTTATGGTTCTAACAGACTAACGGGTCGGGACCGGTTATGGTTCTAACAGGCTAACGGGTCGGATCGGGACCGGTTATGGTTCTAACAGACTAACGGGTCGGGACCGGTTATGGTTCTAACAGACTAACGGGTCGGGACCGGTTATGGTTCTAATAGACTAACGGGTCGGGTCGGGACCGGTTATGGTTCTAACAGACTAACGGGTCGGGTCGGGACCGGTTTTGGTTCTAATAGACTAACGGGTCGGGTCGGGACCGGTTATGGTTCTAATAGACTAACGGGTCGGGTCGGGACCGGTTTTGGTTCTAATAGACTAACGGGTCGGGTCGGGACCGGTTATGGTTCTAACAGACTAACGGGTCGGGACCGGTTATGGTTCTAACAGACTAACGGGTCGGGTCGGGACCGGTTATGGTTCTAACAGACTAACGGGTCGGGACCGGTTATGGTTCTAATAGACTAACGGGTCGGGTCGGGACCGGTTTATGGTTCTAACAGAAACGGGTCGGGCGGGACCGGTTATGGTCTAATAGACTAACGGGTCGGGTGACCGGTTATGGTTCTAACAGACTAACGGGTCGGGACGGGTTATGGTTAAGAAAAGGTCTGGGATAGCTAAAATAACGGGTCGGGACGGTTTTTGGT